CCGCAGCAGTCCCGATGAGGTCAAGCCTCTCCGACGATGCCGCAGCTCCGATGTGCAACTCAGAGGAGATGGAAGCGTCAAGGCAGTTAGGGATTACGATGAGGACACATCGGCGAAGAGAGACTGAAACAGAGCACAAGCTGAGGGCTGTACATAAATGAAGAAGTTGACTAAAAGCAACATAAATTTGTGATAGAATCTAAAAATGAAAGAACAAAGAAAGTTGACAATTAATCAATCAAGAAATCAGATTCAAACAACTAATCAATAAACCAACGAAAGTTTAGATAAGGGGAAATATAATAGAGCCTGATCTCTGAAGATTGGTGATGGGTCGATAGATCGGAGGCTGCCCCTCGATTCAGGGTTTAACGGCCGAAAATTGTTGTTGTCGGCTAAGGACGACTGAAGGGAAGATCAGCGGTCAAGAGGTGAGCTTGGTGTTGGTGGCGGTCTGGTCGAACGACGTCGTTTCTTCCGGGGTCTGGTGGTCGTAGATGTCGTAGCCGTTGTTTTTCGTTTCCTGGATGAAGGAAGGCCGGAAGGAAAATTGTTTATTCAAGATATTAATTTTGATATGTTTAAAATAAAATATTTTATTCTCTTGAACATGTGATCATCAAACCCCTAGGGTTGACCTAGTGGTAATGTGAGGATGAGATTATACCAGCATAGTATTAGTTGTGAACTATCATGGTATAAATTTATATTTTGAAGTTATTGGCATAGCATCAATTTACTTGATAGTTTTTGGTGCCTGAAGTAACAATTGATGCTGTAAAAAATTTCTTTTTAAAGTATGCAAAAGTTTATTTCAGTGATTACAACTACGTTGAATTTATTGGATTACACGGACTGGAATTAGTCAACTAGGTTAGTGTTTAGAGCCACAAACTTTGAGATAGAGATATTGAAGAAGTTTGTGTAGCTTGCTTTGCTTAATTGCTATTGATTTGTTTTGAGGTCACTTTATGCAAGGAAGATTCTTTTTGTTTGAGGTTTATTAAGATGTCAGTAAATGTATGGTCGACAAAATTAGCTTTATTAATTACTAGAAAGGATATTAATCCCATTTAGTTCCTAAGAAATCACCACAATCATACATTTACTAAGTTGAACCTAACAATTATTTGAATTATTGCATATTCACATATTTTGGGCTTATGATGTTTTATAGTGGATTTTAGTGTTAAGAATTAGGGAATTGATAGTTTTCACTATATATTTTCAATGTATTAACTTGAGGATATATCGTTAATCGTATAGGCTGAAAGAGAATATGTATAAGCTAATAGAGACATATTTACTTGGATTCAAATTTGAGGTTTAGATTTATGATGAAAATTAGATAAATATATTTTATAAAATATTTATCATAATTATTTTTTGAACCATTTTCTTATTTAGAGTTTTCAAAAATTTGGGCTCTGAGCTTAATATATTATATGCAGGCAATCGGTGGGTAATTACTACATAACCTAAAAACTAATGTGTTCTTTCCAAGAGATTGAGTTGAGAGTTAAGGATTAATGGTGGAATATATATATTGTTTGAGGGTTTTGTTTATGATGTGATTGTATGATTAAATTATTTGACAAGACTATTTATTTTTATTGTCAAATACTAATTTAACTTTCATAATCTAAGTTAACTTAAAAAATGATTGCTGAAATTAAAAATTCTATACTATATACTATAGTAAAAACGATATGAGAACCATTTTGTTATTGCATCTACCAACCGAAAGTGCAATTTACTAAAAATTAAAATTATAAAAGTTTCGGCCAATGGGTCGGGTTAAAAGCTAGTTTCCAAGAATAGCAACTGGCAAATATAGAAACAAAGAACGTAGAAGGGTGGAGTCCAACGATCACAACCGGTTGATTTTCGACAGCACAGGTACATTCCCGACACCGTAGAATGATAGAAACCTAATTTTCGGGTTCTATCATAATTATCATAATTACTATTATTAGGATTTATTTAGATATGATTAGTAGTCGTTGAGTCACATTAGGAAAGTCTATTAGGTTTTTCTGGTCTTTAGCTATAAATATGAATCTTGGGTCTTTGGTACAATTAAGCAAAAGTTAATCAAAGAACAATCTTCCCAAACCCTAAGCTCTCTCTCTATCTCCTAATTTCTCTTCTTCCCTAATCCAAGGTTTCAGCTGATTCTTATTCTTTTCTTCTGCTTCCTCAATTCTATCCCCAAATCCCTAAATTCCCAATCACCCATCACAATCGACAGAATCCTAGAAATAGGTTTCTATCATTTGGTATCAGAGCCCGGTTTAGAGAACAGTTCTTCAAAACTCTCAACCAGGGTCGTCTGCATCTTAATCAAGAGCCAGAATGAGCTCCTCAAAGCTCTTTGATCAAGAATGGTTTTGATCGCTGGAACTGCTACATCAAACCCTTGACCGATGGTACCGGGAGGCGCGTGGGATGGCGGAGCTGCTCGAACGAGCCCTAGACTCGCCTCGGCAAGTCAAGCCAACACCATCAACACTCGTTGTAGCTACCTCGGAGTCTCTACGGGCGTCCAAGACACCACCATCCACCAAATCAACCGTTGTTGCTGACTTAAGGACAAATCTCAGCTTCTGCCATTGACCTAGTCCAGGCTACTCCAGATCAACTCCAAATCCACCAGTACTTCGAAATGGTGGCTGGAATTACCGGAAGAAGAAACCATCTCCAGGGGATGGCCGTGAAGACGAACCGAATTGTGGAATGGGAAAAAGATGTCGATACCGCGCCAAATGGGTGCCGATGTCAATGGATTTCCACACTCGCCATCCATTGTGACCAGGGTTCCAACCAGAAGTTTAGGGATCCTCTCAAGATCCGGAGAGTTCCGTCGCGGCATGGACAGACAAGGCAAGGTAGAAATGACGATCGGCGATTGGGCTGTCCCGCCGAAGTCGCAAATTGGGCAATTGGCACGGTCGTTCTCCGCGTTGTCGATCGTCTGGGGGAAACAGTTGAGGGTGAGCAGCAAGGCTTTGGAGGTTACTTCCCACTGCTTAGCGAAGTGCTCGTCGTCGGAGAACGAGACCAAGAAGAAGAAGCCACCAAGCCCAGAGATGCATGGGAAAGGACCCAGTGCGAGGGCTTCCATCGTGTGATTGACAAGTCCTGGCATCAACCGATGGGTCGCGAGTAGGTTCGCTGGATCCGAGATCCATGCAGGTTGCATCAAAATCGTCGGCGGCAGCGGAAAAGACGGCGGAGCATGGAGGTCGAGTGGCAGCTACTGTCTCGGGTTGGAGGTTGACTTCCACAGGAGTACGACGTTAGATGCAACGTCGAACGACGATGAGAGGAAGACAAGTAGGCCAGCAGCTACCTCAACTCTCAACCACCGGCGCAATTGCTTATCGGGAGGAAGGAATAAGGTGATCGGCAACGGGGAGCCTGATCGGGTGGTTCGCCGGGGACCGGAAGAGGGAAAGAAGATGAAGGAGAGGGGACTGATCACTAGGTATGGGTAGAGAAAATTGAGTGCGAATGATGCAGCTCTCTCCGAGGAGACGACGAAGGCTCCGTATCGGAAGTTAGAGGGAACAACGGAGCGAGGGACCTGTGCGGCGAAGGAGGGCATGTTTCTTCACCGCCGAGTGAGCTCCTCGTCGCCGAAGCACGACCCGAAAAATCACCGGGGAAGGAGTTGAAGGGGTATCTAGCGGCGATTGAGGAAGAGGTTGGCGGCGGCCGTCTTGTCGATAACTCTAGTTCGCAATTTTGGCCCAACTCTAACGAACAATTATTTGTTCCTTCAGGCCAAATTGCTAGGGCCGCCGATCTGGAGAGGGTAGATGGAGTGGGCCGGGTCGAAGACATCAGTCTTGGTCGCGGGCTGGCTTTGAATAAGAAGCTCAGTGGGTTTACATTGGGTCGATCCGAGCACGCGATTGGGTCTGAGGCAAGCAAAAGAAAGGCAAGTTGGGCTAAAGGAAGCAACAAGCCAAATTTTTAGGCAGGTTATGGGCCTCTGCTGGGCTGTCTCATAAAGTCTCTTTTGTATGATCTTGGGCCACAAATAAAAGAGAGTGGGTCGTGTTGGCCGAGAAGACTTAAGCTCAATGTGGCCTATGATTTGAAGATTGACATGGAGAAAAGGAAAGGTGAGTTTATGTGCTTAGCTGGTGGGCATTTAAAGGAACATGACCCACAAATAAGGGGAGAATAACAAAGGAAGTGATTGCACTAGCTTCAAGAAGGAAGTTTGAAGGCCTTGATGAGTTGGTACTTAATGATGTGTTCTTGCACGACAAAGTGCATTTCGATTCATTAAGCTCTTGGAGCATGATGCCAGCGAAAGGATTGCTATTAGAGTTTAACCTTGCCATAGAAGAGAACAGTGGGCTCATGGAAATGAAATTGGAAGTGATGGACCTACACGGAGAGATCAATGCAAGAAGACCAAGTGAAGAGTTGGAGCATGATTGGAAGAAAAGGAAGCGCAAGAAATGGGAAGTAAAGGTGAGATTTGCACGGACGATGTGGAGAGGTGGGTTGAGTGGATCAACCTTGAGGGCAAGGTTGGTCTCAAGGGGGAGGGGATGATAGAAACCTAATTTTTGGGTTCTATCATAATTATCATAATCACTATTATTAGGATTTATTTAGATATGGTTAGTAGTCTTTGAGTCACATTAGGAAAGTCTATTAGGTTTCTGGTCTTTAGCTATAAATATGTATCTTGGATCTTTGGTACAAGTAAGCAGAAGTTAAGCAAAGAATAATCTTCCCAAACCCTAAGCTCTCTCTCTATCTTCTAATTTCTCGTCTTCCCTAATCGAAGATTTCCGCCGATTCTTATTGTTTTCTTTTTCTTCCTCAATTCTATCCCCAAATCTCTAAATTCTCAATTACTCATCACAATCGATAGAACCCTAGAAATAGGTTTCTATCATAGAATTCATGTATGCATATATGATGATTTGAGGTACTGATGGATGGGATTATAATGCTAGATATAAGCAGGAAATAATGTGACGGGGGAGGAAATTGTTCCTCTATTAAAATTCATCAACAACAATTACTCTGAGCACCACATAATTCACCGTGTTATTTATTGAATACATAATAAGTCACATGAACTTGAAACGATTATAGAGAATAAGCATGCTTACAACAATGATATTAACGACAAACAAATAGATTCGTTCAAATAGAATTGTGAAATTAATACCTAATAATTATATTCGGTTCACTCATACAGATGAGGAGGCAGGCGAGGAGACACTAAAACATCAAGAGGAGTTGCTCTAGGGACAGTCAGCCCGATGCCCTCCGTCATATCAATCGGTTCGCTACCCAGCCTCTCAAAATTAAACCCATGCAAGAGCGTAGCTAAGGTCAAGTGCATAACTCGTAGCGCGAAATTTACGCTAGGGCACATCCTCCTTCCACTACCAAAAGGTATAAGCTCGAAATCCTGCCCCCTCACGTCGACATCCTTGTGAGTCGTGAGGAACCGGTCCGGTCGAAACTCGTCCGGGTCCGGCCAGACCCTTGGGTCACGCTGGATCTTGGATATGTTAACGATGAGCCGGGTTCCTTTACTGACGAACCGGCCAGCCACGGTGCAATCTTCAATGGATTGGTGGGGCAAGGAGATCGGCCCGGGAGGGTACAGACGGAGGGTTTCCTTGACGATGGCTTTGAGGTAGTCCAAGTTGCGGAGATCGGATTCTTGAACTCGACGTTGTTTGCCGATGTGGTTGTCTAGCTCGGTTTGAGCTGTTTTCAAGACGTCGGGGTGGTTCACTAGCAGAGAGAGGAGCCAGGTCATTGTCACCATGGTTGTGTCTGAAGCGGCTAATACAAAGCCCTGGAATGTGATGAATTGAACAAAATTACATTGTATGTAGTATATGCATGCAGTGCTTTCCTTGCTACCACTTCCGTCACTATATATGTGGTTTATTTGTCACGGGAAGTTCTTTTTCCCAAACAGTGGTATCCTTAATTAGGTCTATGAGTCTACTAGATATTGAGGCGACCAGTGAAGTACAAATTCATATAATTGATTTGGTCCACCAGCAAGCTTTTTCAGAAATGACAAAATGTATAAATGAGAGGACAATCTAAGGGAGTACGTACGAGAGACCTGATCACTAAGCAATGAGAATGGATAGCACAAGAATTGGTGCCCACCCAAAAAGGATATGGTACCAATTACAAGACAGTGTAGTGTAGGTATGAATCATCCAATCCAATTTTCTTAGTTAATGTAATAATTGATGTGGTCCAATTTTTTTTAAATTTAATAAAATGAAAAACTTAAATTATCTAATTCAAAACTGTTCTAGAAAACAAAAAAAATCAGAATTTAATTGACTCATTGGATGTTAATGACTAGAGTTATAATAATTGGTCGTGTCCACACATGACAATGAGTCTACTCATTAGGTAATTTGATGTGATTGTCATGACACATATGGGTATTGGATCGACCCAAATGGACCCTATGCATTTTAAATGGTTTGGAGTTTATTTGAGTTAGAATTTTGGACGTATTTGGGTAAATTCGTTATGGTTAAATGGAAATGGGTCTAATTGAGTGTAGATGATTGTTTTAAAAAGAAGTATCAACCATTTCATTAACTAGTTTCAATTCAATTATACACATTTTATTCGTTGAACAATTATACACATTTGCTTCATAACAAAGGATAGGACAAAAATTGCACTATAATCGAACACTCGTTTTCTTTTGGACTTCCAATTCTATGGGTCGAATTTAGATTCAAAATAACAAAACTAGGTACGGATATGTCACAAGAGTAACGTTAACTAAATTGGATTTGACCCGTAATAAGTTGGGCTGAGTCATACCTAAATATTGGGGTCATTTTTGCCATCCGAAATACTATAAGTGGAAAACAAAAATGTTCATATAATACGTATTGCATACACATACACTTGAAATTGAACACCTAAAACAATCAAAATATTGAAGCAGAAACTGAGATTGCTATATTTATTCATTTAGGAAAAGAAAGCTAGATGAATGTTGATAAAGTATGAGAGAAATTTTATGGTGGTTGTATTTATGAATATATACGAGTGTATAAAGAATTATTTAATTATATCGATAAAGTCATTGGTACTCATGCAATTGCAGATAAGGGAAGGCGATAATGAATTTAGATCTGACAAGTTTTAAAGTGAATTTAATATCTTAACTATTTGAGTTATAAACTCGCGAAAATAGAGCTTGTTTTAAATTAAATTAAAGTGTCTTCTTCATAAAAAAAATAAAAAAATTTAAAGTGTCTTAAAATATATTTTATGATAAATCAATGTCGTCTTTCGCGATTCCAGATTTGGTCCCAAAAATTAATAATTTAAATCGTAACATGCATGAGAATTGAGAACGATAGGACACAGTACTTACAAGAGACGTAGCTTTGTTAAAGGTAGCTGAATCTCGACCGTCGATATCCTGCTGTTCGCCGACGGCATCAAGAATCACGTCCATGAAATCCTTCTCTGTCTCCGCCGCCTCGCCGGAATCTCTTTTGGCCTTGTGCTCCCTCAGCCACCCTTCTACCACGACATCCATCTCCCCCGCCGTCTTCCTCATCGCCTTTTCGAACCCTCCGACGTCCAACCACCGCAGGTACGGCAGCCCGTCGGCCACCACGAACCTTCCCGTCAGTTCAAAGAATTCCTTCAACAACTTGCTCAGCTTCACGCTGTCCGCTCCGCCCGTCAAGTACCCCACGGATTTCCCAGCTATCATCCTCAAGATAACGTTCATCGATATCTCCCCAAACCAACTACTCATCTCCACCGAGACGCGGCCGTTTCTCCCCTCTTCAGCAGTAGAGGCAGAGGGTTTAGCTGCTAACACGGAACACATGTCAGTTTTGGTTAAAAAACTATATATATATATATATATAAAATTCCTTCCTATTTATTCTTATGCAAGGGATAGATGAAGCTAGGTTGAACTTAGAAAATCAACAATTCTCAAATTTGAAATATAGATAAAATAACATATAAATAACGAACGGACAAGTTAGGAGTTGATCTAGTAGCAATAACACTAGTCTAGAATTTGGAGGTTTTAGGTTCCAATCTCTTAAATAGTATCCAATCGTAGGGGTGTGCAACAGTTTGATTTAGATCAGATCGGAACAAATTATGGAAAACCACGATCCAATAGTAAGAGACATTTATGGACCAAGGATTGGACCAACAAAGTAGTCAGTCTGCTTTGCTCCGGTCTAAATATTAATTCGGTCCATTTTTAGTATTTATAAAATTCAAGAAACCAAAGATAGGACCATGTTATATTCGGTTAGGTGCGCTGGTTCAATCATCGGTTTAGACCAACCTGTTGCACACCCATATCTATCCACAACAAATAAACATATATCACTGTTATAAAAAAAAAACATATAAATTTTAAACAATTTTAGAAATTAGAATAGCCCATAAATGTTTAAACCCCTCCCCCAATTTTGACAATTCAAGCAAACCATATTAGAATGGTTTACTGTGCCATTGAGAACGAATTCATGACATAAGGATATCTTTGCTACTTTTAAAAAAAAAATCAATTGTTATTATATATATGTTAATTACTTATTTAAATATATATATATTTTTTTTTCTTTTAAAAACACACCTAATTTCAAGTTTTCTCCTTGCTCCTTGTTGGCGGCTTGCCAATAGGCGTACAGCTCTTTGGTGGCGGTCCGGACCTCGGACTCCCGCACGTGTTGGAGCAAATCGAGGCGGTGCGAGGAGAGGAGCTCCAGCGTGGCCATCTTCCGGGTCTCGCGCCAGAACGAACCGTACGGGCTAAACCCGAACATGGACCGGTGGTAGCCGAGAATGTCCATGGCCAGGGTGGCCGGCCGGTCAGCGAAAATCCGGTCGTGGGTGGTCAGACACTCCTTGGCGATCTCCCAGCTGCTGACCACCAGGGCCGGGTGGACTCCCATCCGGATCGTGAAGATTGGGCCATGCTGGTCGGCCATCTGGCCCAATACGCGGTGTGGCGGGCGCGGCCCACCCAGGAGGTGGAGGTGGCCGATGATGGGCCAGGAGCCGCTGGCCTGTGGCGGCGGCGGCGGCGGCGATGCTCCATGTTTGTTGTACTTGGTGGTGGTTATTACGAAGAAGCAGAGGAAGGCGAGGGATGCTAAAGCCAGGACGATTGTGGGCAAGGGAATGGTGGTGAGTACGTCTGCCAAATCCATTTTGTTATTGGGATGATTTTCCTATTTTTGAAGTGGCCTATTTATAGAGAGACGATAATCCTCGTAAATTTCAGTGCATGGATGGATTCTGTTCACACAAATGGTTCTAACTTCCAAGGCTTGAACTACAGGTTTCTTTCACGAAGAGAAATACATCATTCATTTGCCCCTTCCCAACACGAAATGTTTGTTTTAAAGGTCGGCAATTAGTAGATATGTACCACCACCCACAAATCGTACACATTTCAATCGTGTTATTGTATAACTCTCCTACGAGTTGTTGAAATCAACCGGTTATTAACATGATATCAGAGTTTTTCGGTGATCGAGAGGTCTTCTATTCGAATCCCTGTGACCCCATTCTTTATGGTAAGTGCCATATAATATATGATGGCTTTTGTTTGAGGGGTGTGTTGGTAAGTGGTATATAATCTATAATTGACATGGTATCAGAGCCTTCGGTGATCGAGAGGTCTTCTATTCGAATTCCAGTGACCCAATTTGTTAAGCACGTGGTATTCGAACTTGTGCAAACTTCAACCTCATATATGCTACCTTTCGTTTGAGAAATGTATTAATAAGCGACATATAATCTATAATTGAACTTCTTCCGAAACCGTTCAAAATTTGAAAAATTGTGTTAAAAATTGGAGATATGGAAGTCCTTGATAGTAGACAAGGACATATTTCAATAAGTTTTCACTGTTGAATCAGATGGAAGCAAACTGACAATTTATTCATTGATCAATCGAGGAGTATAAATACAAGGTTTTACTCCTTTGATCTCGGCAACAACCAAGAACCCACTTTCCTACAGATCAGCTAACCATCTAACAGATGCAAAACCCCTCTAACAAACTCATAAAACCCTGCAACAAGCAACGACTAATTGACAGGACTCAACAGACTCAGATTCAAACTAATAAGGACCAAATAGAAACTTGCCAATACGACTCAACATTAACTTAAGAACAAAACATAAACGACGTAGTATTCTCTTAGGGACTTCAAACTTGCTTCTGCACGCCACAACCATTTCCTTCCCCAAATCGGATTCGGATTCTTCCTTCAACATCCTCCCCTGAACTGAAGCTTCTGCTATAGCTTCAGTTCATTCAATCTCTGATCCATCAAGCAATCCAAGTCGACTTCGCAACAGCTGAAAGGACTCCAGTTTGAGAGGCTTTGTCATGATGTCTGCCACTTGATCATGACTGCCACAATGTTCTAACTCCACAACTCCATCTCTCGAAAGATCCCTCAGAAAATGGAAACGAACATCGATGTGTTTGCTCCTTCCATGCATCACAGGGTTCTTTGAAAGCTTGATTGTCGAACTGTTGTCACACATAATTCGTGCAGATCCAGTTACACACTTCTTCCAGCCCATCTGCTCAATTATCCTTCGAAGCCAAACGCATTGAGCAGCACAGTTTGCAGGAGCTACGAACTCTGCTTCTGTGGTTGACAAAGTGACAACTGGTTATTTTTTAGAGGACCATGAGACAGCTGCACCTGCAAAAAAGAAAACATAGCCACTGGTGCTTTTTCGATCGTCCAAATCTCCTGCATAATCACTGTCTGTATAACCCAACAGTGAGTCTTCTTCATTCAACTTTTTGTACCAGATCCCTTGAGTCATTGTGTCTTTTAGATACCTTAGAACTCGCTTGGCTGCCATCATATGTTGTCTGGTGGGAGAATCCATAAAGCGACTCAGCAGGCACACTGAATACATGATGTCAGGCCTAGTGGCTGTGACATACAACAAACTCCCTATGAGATGTTTGTATTCAGTGTCATCTGCTTTAATTCCATCTCCAGCTTTGGTTAGCTTCGTTCCAGCTTTGGTTTGCTGCTGGTGTACATCAGATCATCAACATATACTAAAACCAGCAAGATATCTGCTTCAGTCTTCTTAATGAACAAGTGTGTTCATATTCACACCTTTGAAACCCATTCTTTTGGAAGTATGCTTCGAGTCTGCTATACCAGGCCCTTAGGGCCTGCTTTAAACCATACAGTGCCTTCTGCAACTTGTAAACTTTGTCTTCCTCCCCAGGAACTTCAAACCCTTGAGGCTGTTCAATGTATACTTCTTCTGCAAGTTCCCCATGAAGGAATGCACTCTTGACATCCAGCTAGAACACTGTCAAGCCATGGTAAGCAGCCAAAGCCAGAAATGCTCTTATGGTGTCCCACCTGGCCATAAGAGCAAAAACCTCAGTGTAATTAATCCCATGTTTTTTAGCATACCCTTTTGCTACCAACCTTGCTTTGAATTTATCCACAGTTCCATCTTCCCTGAGTTTCGTTCTAAACACCCATTTTACTCCAATTGGAATCACTCCAAAAGGTCTTGATGTCAGAATCCCATCTGTTGTTTTTCTTGATGGCCTCAATCTCCTTCTTCATGGCCTCTCTCCATTTGGCTTCCAGAACAGCTTCCTCGAATCTTTAAGGATCATCTGTGACTGCCACCATTGTCAGCCATTCTGTTTTTGCAAAGGTGCAATCATAGATATTTAAATGACTTTGAAACTTCTTCTTTCTTGGACCAAGCTCAGTGCTTGCTGGTAGACCCAAAGCATTAGTGGAAACTTCTTCCTCCTCTTCCTCTTCTTCATTTGTGGTAGGTGTTGCTGTTACTGTTGCATTAGTGGAGGCAGCAGTTCCAGTGCTTACAGGTGTGGTGGGTTCTGCAGTCTTTGCTTTTTCATCTTCTCCTTCCTCCTCTTCTTCTCCTTCCCCTTCCTCCTCTGAGTCATACCACTGATCATCACTTCCATCCCAGATCAGCCTGGTTGACTCAGCCTCAGATGACCCAGTCCATCCTTCCATTTCATTGAAAACCACATCCCTGCTAGTGATGACTTTCTTTGTAGCAGGATTATATAACTTATATGCTTTGGACTCTTTGGAAATTCCCAAAAAATTGCATTTAATGATTTTAGCATCAAGATTCTTTCTATGTTGATCATGCACATGCACATAGGCTATGCATCCAAATACTCTTAAGTGATCTACTGAAGGAGGGTTACCTGTCCAGATTTCTTGGGGAGTTTTACCATCATTTGATGATGTAGGACTTCTGTTGAGCAAATGAGTGGTCCATTCGACAGCTTCAGGCCAGAAGGAGGCAGGTATCTTGGTGTCTTCAAGAGAGCATCTAACCATGTTCATGATGGATCTGTTCTTCCTCTCAACAATGCCATTTTGCTGTGGTGTTAAGGCTGCTGTAAGTTGCCTTCTGATCCCAGCTTCCTCACATAGATCTCTGAATTCATGCCACATTACTTCCCCTCCTCGATCAGTTCTGAGGCAGGTAATGAATTTTCCAGTTTCCTTCTCTACTTGGACATTAAACTTCTTGAACCAGGTGAGTGCTTCAGATTTGGCAGCTAGAAAGTAAACCCAGAGTTTCCTACTGTAGTCATTAGTAAGAGTCAAAACATACCTCTTGCCTCCATTTGAAGCATGTGTAATGGGACCACATAAGTCAACATGCATAAGTTGGAGTGGCTGAGTTTCTCTCCATGTTGCCTTCTTAGGAAACTTATGTATGTGTTGTTTCCCTAGCATGCAGGTGCCACATACCCCCAGATCTCCAGCCAGTCTTGGAAGTCCTTGCACTCTACCCTTGTTGTGCAATTCCATCAGGGATTTGGCATTCAAATGACCATATCTTCTATGCCACAGATTTAGAGCTTCTGCTTGAGCAGTCCCAGTTTGTAAGCACTGCATATTTTCTTTCTTGTCTTCTTTGTAGTCTGCATGTAAAACAAACATTCTATTTGTTTTCATAGCAGTCTGCAGAAGTAGACCTCTTGATTCCTAAAAGATTTTGCACATTCCCTGCTTGATCACAAACGTTAAATTTCTTTCTTGTAGATGGCCTACACTGAGCAGATTGGTCTTTAATCCTGGAACAAAGAACACATCCTACACAGTCAAATAAATTTGCTCAAACATGACCTTGACCCTGCCCTTTCCCAGTACTCAAGCTTGTGACCATTTCTTAGCTTCACATCACATTTGAAGCTAGTGTCCAGGTTGGTGAACCACCTCTTATTACCACTCATGTGGTTACTGCAGCCAGAATCCAAAAACCACCAACATTCAGCTTCTTCACTCTTCTTATCCTCCACGAGAGCCATTAGACTTCTCTCACTTTCAGCTTCTGGCTCTACATATGCCATTAGAAGAACATCTTCTCTTTCATATCTGGATAAGAGGAACCAGAGTTGGAGTAGTGGACTTGCTGAGAATTGTTCCACTCAGGACATTCTCTACTGTAATGTCTCATCCTGTGGCATTTGAAACATTCCACAGTAGCACGATTCCAGGTTCTTCCTCTTCCTTGATAGCCACCTCTTCCCTGGTAACCTCCTCTTCCTTGTCCTCGACCAGCAAACTCATGAGTGGTCTTAAGAGCTTGATCTTCCTCATGTGAGTGCTTTGAAAGCTTCTACTCTTGGACAAGCAAGGAGCTTTGCAAAGCATCCACTGTCAACTTAGAGATATCTTTGGATTCTTCAATTGAGCAAACTATGTAGTTGAACTTTTCTGTTAAAGTCCTCAAAATCTTTTCATCAGTCATATTTTTGCCACAGTTCCTCATGGAATTTGCAATAACCATAACTCTACCAAAATAATCTGTGACAGATTCTCTCTCTTTCATTTCCAGTACCTCAAAACTTCTTTTGAGCCCTTGCAACTGACCCTTTTGAACTCTGGCATTGCCCTGATATCAGATCTTCATGGAGTCCCAAAGTTGCTTTGTTGTATTCTTTTGGGTAATTGTCTTCAGGATCATCTTGTCAATTGAACTAAAAAGATAGTTCCTGGCCTTCAGATCCTTCATCCTGAGATCCTCCAGAGTCTTCAATTGAGCACCAGTCAGCTCCTCTCTTTCTCCAGGTTCGTGAAAACCAGATTTCACCACACCCTAGTACTCTTTTGATATGAGCAGATTTTCCATCAGTAGACTAGTGGTCATAATCCCCATCAAACTTAGGGATACAGACCTGAGCAAAGCTACTGTCACTCATCCTTTCTGCTCCTGCACACTCAAAGAGTTTTCACTCACCACTTAAGTACAACCTCACCAATCAATCGTGTTTCCCACACCCAGAAAGAATAACCTTTTCACACACCGTTCTCACAAAATGAACTCACAGATCTTCGTGTTTGGTTACAGCCTGCTCTTGAACTCTGGTACCACTATGTTGAATCAGATGGAAGCAAACTGACAATTTATTCATTGATCAATCGAGGAGTATAAATACAAGGTTTTACACCTTTGATCTCGGCAACAACCAAGAACCCACTTCCCTACAGATCAGCTAACCATCTAACAGATGCAAAACCCCTCTAACAAACTCAGAAAACCCTGCCACAAGCAACGGCTAATTGACAGGACTCAACAGACTCAGATGCAAACTAATAAGGACCAAATAGAAACTTGCCAATACGACTTAACATTAACTTAAGAACAAAACATAAATGACGTAGTATTCTCTTAGGGGCTTCAAACTTATTCCAAACAAGTATTCCAAAGTCACAGCTAACAAGTAGATGATCGACGGTTTCCTCGTTCTTTAAACACAGTTCACACCGATTTGCCAAAACCCAGCCCTTTTTCTTCAGGTTGTCGATTGTGAGGATTCTCTTGTGAGCAACTAACCACATGAAAGCACAGACTTTGGAGGGTATGGCACTCTTCCAAATCGATTTAGCAGGAAATTGCTCTATCCCCGGGAATCGGCTGTCATGGAGCACCCTATACATAGATCTTACTGTAAAAGAAACATCATTATGGGGAGCCCAGACCACTCTACATGGTCCACTACTCACCCTATTAGTGCCAAAACTGTTCAAAAAAGCAATCAGATTATCCTTTCCCTAGCAGCTCCCCCTCTCAAATTAATAGATAAAGGAATGTCACCAAAGGAAAGACTCCCCCTCTTCCAAATCAGATTATCCTTTCCCTATCATTGCTCCACCTACAACCAAAAACTGCCGCCAAAAAGTCGGGATTAGGCACATCCCCTACTGTAAACATGATCGACTTGTCTAAATTAATGCGCAAACAAGTCACAGCCTGAAAACACACAAGGGTGGCTAAAACATTCAACGCCTGCTCATAATTAGCTTCACAGAAAATCAAGGTGTCGTCAGCAACCAGTAAATGGGTGACTTCCCCTCTTCCCTCGGATTCATCCATACAAAACCCTCTGATTTTGCCACAATCTCTTATCTTGGATATCATATAAGAAAGGATGTCCATAACCAATGTGAATAATCCTGGAGACAGAGAGTCTCCTTGCCTGAAGCCTTTGGTGGCTGGGAAAAACCTTTAGACCCACCGTTTACAAGTACTGATATCAAAGGAGCACACATAGTCCCCTTAATCCAATTCTGCCATACCACAGGAAAACCCAAGTGATCAAGAGTGTTGAAAAGGCAATCCCAACTCACATTGTCGAAAGCTTTCTCGATATTAGATAGTAGTATTAAGCCCTACTTCTTCGAGTTTCACATTAATACGGACGTTTGTGAATAGGCCTGTGATATTTAGATTTACTTCAATTAAGGTAGCTAGTTTAGAGAATTGGAATTTGAATCTGGTGATTCTAATGAATCGGGAGATTTCGATTCTTATGGTTGTTTAAAATAGACTCTATTAAGTTTATAATTTTGGAACCGTAATTATTTGATATAAACTCTAGACTGCCATTCCAACTTTCCAGTCGCGGGGCAAGATGTCCAAACCAATCGACGCTCTTCTCCCTGTCCAATTATAAAAGATGGAAAGCTGAAAACACTGTTTCGTACGTAGGCCTATGCATCATAGATTTAAAAAATGACAGTTTAGGCAAAATTACTTTTAGTTTCAAAAATCATAGATGTATTAGGGTTTTGGATTCATTATGATTTTGAAAAATACCATTGTTTATTTCATAGATTTCATAATGAATTTTATTAATAAGGTCTGTATACACGAAGTGAAATTGATCTTATTATCATTGGTATATAAATAAAAAAGAAAATAAAATGAATAGATTGGTCATGAGCTCGACCTCACATAAGTTCATAACAAATCCAAATCCATCACCAAATAAATCCAACAAACAAGAATTTCCTTTTGGCTTCCCCAACTCTGATCTCGACCTCTAACATTATTCCCTCCACCATCAATCCTTTTCCCTCTCTGTCCTTTAAAAAACAACTCACCAGTTGTGGGCAATGACATTAACAGAAATCTACCCTTGGGAGAGCATGACACCTGGTTGCCAGAATTCTCACCGCAAGATATATAGAGGGAGAAGGCAATCCACATGCAACTACAAACGAGGTTAGGACGAAGCTAACCTATGGGATCAGCAAGCCAAACAAGAAACAAACCAGAATTCAGAAACCAAACAACACCATTTTCATGAACATCAGAGCCAAGAGAGTTGTCATGAAATTAATTTTGCCAGCCAATACTAACGTGATCGGTTGGTATGATTTTTAATTACAGGTCGAAATGGTACAAACACCCCACTAAATGCTCCAAACTCTAATTAATTCAATATTTGAATAACATTTTTTTTAAGTGTTGTTACAATCGAACTGAGTTATGTTCGGTTCGACCTGTAAAATCGATACTCGACCACCATCTTGATTCAGTTTGATATTTTGACCCTCGATTAATTAGAACAGGCCGCTACCTAGGTTCGGCTAGATAGTAGATATGGACCACCCACGAATGAGACATGTTTCAATGAGTTTTCACACCATCAAAACTATATTAATGTCCGACTCGTTGTACTCTCTCATCCACCCGTCCATCACGTACGACATCTATCGCCACGGTTGTCTTCCTTATCGCCTTCTCGACCCCTCCGACGTCCACACCATCCAATAGGGTTGAATGCTTGAAGTATCATTCATTTGTTTCTTTCATGGAGAGGAATAATGCATCAATGATCATTTGGCCGTTCGTGATATGAAAGGTTTGTGTAGAAAGTTGGCCAAGTACGCCTAGCCCTAGATAGGAGATATGGACCATGCACCGCAGGAATGTGACATATTTCAATCAGTTTTCACACCATCAAAATTAAATCACGAGTGTGAAATGTGCGGTGAAGGTTGAATACAAGTATTATTATCAAAAAGTATATCATGGCATGTACAACTCCTATATTGAGCATAGACTAGACATCAATGATTTAATGTTATAATTGTTAAAGCAATCATTCCACTATCATTATATTAAAACTAAGCTCTCCCAACAATCATTCCAAACCTGTTCTTATACATTAGCATCAAGGGATATGTATTACTATGGGAAGTGGGCGGCAAGCCGGGGGCTCAATAAATAATGTACCATATCCACCTTATTCTGCTTGCGGGTTGAGTCAAAACGCGTATGTTTACATTTTGGGTTTTATATATCTCAATATCGATCAGGTGTGAGAGAACATGTCTAATCCAGATTGCCAACAGTATCAACCTGAGTAAGCATTACCTTACCGGTTGTTATATTTTTCAAATTTACATGTATTTTAATTTAGCTCTAGTTTGTAAGTTCATGTCCCCTTTACTTTAAGATAGCTATATGCAACAAATATATGAATTCTCTTTTCAAAATATGAAAGGACATTGTGAGAAAAATAAACATTTATTAAACTGATATATGAATTCTTATACATTAGCATCAAGGGATATGTATTACTATGGGAAGTGGGCGGCAAGCCGGGGGCTCAATAAATAATGTACCATATCCACCTTATTCTGCTTGCGGGTTGAGTCAAAACGCGTATGTTTACATTTTGGGTTTTATATATCTCAATATCGATCAGGTGTGAGAGAACATGTCTAATCCAGATTGCCAACAGTATCAACCTGAGTAAGCATTACCTTACCGGTTGTTATATTTTTCAAATTTACATGTATTTTAATTTAGCTCTAGTTTGTAAGTTCATGTCCCCTTTACTTTAAGATAGCTATATGCAACAAATATATGAATTCTCTTTTCAAAATATGAAAGGACATTGTGAGAAAAATAAACATTTATTAAACTGATATATGAATTCTTATACATTAGCATCAAGGGATATGTATTACTATGGGAAGTGGGCGGCAAGCCGGGGGCTCAATAAATAATGTACCATATCCACCTTATTCTGCTTGCGGGTTGAGTCAAAACGCGTATGTTTACATTTTGGGTTTTATATATCTCAATATCGATCAGGTGTGAGAGAACATGTCTAATCCAGATTGCCAACAGTATCAACCTGAGTAAGCATTACCTTACCGGTTGTTATATTTTTCAAATTTACATGTATTTTAATTTAGCTCTAGTTTGTAAGTTCATGTCCCCTTTACTTTAAGATAGCTATATGCAACAAATATATGAATTCTCTTTTCAAAATATGAAAGGACATTGTGAGAAAAATAAACATTTATTAAACTGATATATGAATTCTCTTTACACAGACCCACCATACATTGTGCTTTAATCAACTGTTAATATTGGGGGTCTTGGAGATTCGAACACACGACAACTTGGCAAACAAGCTCTGATACCATGTCAAGAACCAGTTGATCCCAATAATTCGATTTGTTGGGAGAAGGTTCTGCTGGATCTTATACCACTCTCTAATAGCATGAAAACTCAACATAATTACATAAACAAACTAAAGTACACTCACAATATATAGTTTGCATAATATACACTCGAGATATGTAGCCCCAACTACTAACTTATTATAGACTTTGTATATCGAACTATTTGATCCAAATCCAACGACATACGATCATCCGCCATAAACTTCGAGAGGCAGCCGAGGTGAAACCAAAACCTCAAGCGGCGTAGCCTTCATATTAGTCAGCCCAGGGCTCTCCGTCATATCAACCACCGCATCATCTCCAACCCTCCGAATCTCAAACGCATGCAAAAAGCTAGCCAGAACCGAATTCACCATATGGATCCCAAACGCCATCCCCGGGCACGACCTCCTCCCGCTCCCGAACGGCATGTACTCGGAGCCCAGCCCACCACCAGTCCGGCCCAGGAACCTCTCGGGCCGAAACTCCAGCGGCTCGGTCCAGGCCCGCGGGTCGGTCTGGATCTTCCAGATGTTGGTTATGAGCTGGGTGCCCTTCGGAATGTGGTAGCCGCCGCCGACGACGCAGTCCGACGTGAACTCGCGTGGGCCCGACAGCGGCGCCGCCGGGTAGAGGCGTAATGTCTCTTTTACTATGGCTTGGAGATAGGTGAGGTTTGGAATGTCGGATTCGTTGACCGGTCTTTGCGTGCCTACCTGTTTATCTAGCTCTTGGTAGGCTTTTAGCAGGACGTCGTTGTTGTTGAGGAGTAAGGAAATTGCCCACGTAAGTGTCACTGTTGTTGTGTCTGTTCCCCGGGCGATTAGGTTCTGAAATGTAAAAGACAAAATTAATCCACACGCGATCAGTGCCATCCATTCGTTCCGGAGCTCAGTGTTATAGAAACAAAAAGTGGGAATTAGGTTGGCGTAACAGACTCGTATATCATACTTCAAGTGATTTAGCGGTTGAATGTATTTTATTGTATTACGATGAACAATAGTGTTTAATTATAATTTTGTACTACATTGATATTCGGGATTGAGTTTAGAGAATTTGATTCTAAGATTTATCCATTAGAGGTTATGCTATATTATTCTTCGAAATCGATTTCGTTCATTATGTACATAGGATTAATATCTCACTAAAAATATATGGAGTATCTTATACTCAATGATTATAACAGTCTCTATATATGTAAAAATGAAAACTTTTTGAGCTTGTATTATAAAACATAAATTTTCGTGTTATATAGGTTAAATTGACTCATTAGATGTCGAATTACTAAATTTACACTTATTCATTCCAAAATTGACTCATTAGAAAATGTAAAATTGTATTTAACTGGAGTTAAATATACATACCTAAGTTGAAGACCTAAAATTATTAAAATATTGAAGTGAATGGACTTTACTGATAGTCTAGTCAGATTAAATTAAATAGATTATTATTCACGTAATGAAAATTAAATAACACACTTGAAGTTTAAGAATTAGAAAATCAAAATATTGAAATGGATGAACTAATTAAACTATCATTTTGTTTAAATGAATATAGAGAATTCAAAAGAAATATGTCCTGCTCCTGTATAAGTATAACCGACATTCTTACCAAACAAGCTGACTTGTTAATGACATCAGGATCATGCCCTTCAAATTCAAACTTCGCACCATCCAGCACGGCCAGCATCACGCCCATGAAGTCCTGCTCCCCTTCCCCGCCGCCATCACCGGCGGCGCCTCTTTTCCTCCGGTGCTCCTCCAACCATCCATCAAGAAACCCATCCAGCTCTTCAGCAATCCTCTTCATCGCCTTCTCGTGCCCTCCCACGTCCATCCAACCCAAAAACGGCAGCGCGTCTCTCAGCACAAACATACCCAAGTAGTGGAACAACCCCCTTATCGCCTCGCTGCACCGCCGCGCCTCCTCCTCCTCAACCCCGCCGCCACCCCTACCGAACAGCCTCTTCCCGACAACCATCCTCATGATCACGTTCAGCGTCATGTCCCCAAACAACCTCTTCAGCTCGATCTCAACCGCCCCGTCCTCTCCCTTTTTCGGTGGCGAAACCAGAAATCTGAATGAGAAGACTAAAAGGTTTACGTTTGAGGGATTTAAACCATGGTCATTAGGAAGGGGGATAGAGTCATAAATGCAGTCCAAATCGTGATTCTACAAAGAAGAGTTCTAGTGACCTAATAACCTAAAAACGTAAGTTTTTAATCTTTAAAGTGTAGATTTTGAATGCAAATTGTAAGTGAAATGCGCGATTCTAAGTAGAAGTATTTTGGTGATCTATAAGGGTCAAAACGTAAGTTCTTAAGTTTTGTAACGTGATTTTGACTACATTGGTCATACTAACTAGTCTATTTTTCAATTTTGGTATAACTTTTACATGTAAATTTACCTACTTTTGAAAGTTGAGAGGAGCTATAGTCCCTCCTGGAGACAACTTGACTCTGCCACTGTTCTTCTCCTTCCAAAGCCCGTTGATCTCGTTGACTAGACATGCTACTTCGGACGCTCGAACATCTCTCAACAACTCGATTTTACGATGGGAGAGGAGCTCAAGTATGACGAATTTCCTCATCTCCCGCCAGTAGCCGCCGTGGGGGGCGAACCCGAACATGACCATGTCGTAGCCGAGCAGCCTGGTGGCGGTGAGGTTCGGGCGCGTGGAGATGATCAAGTCGTGGTCTGAGTATAGCTCCTTGGCGAGTTCCCACGAGTTGACGACCACGGCTCGGTGGATCCCGAGCTGGATCGTGAAGATTGGGCCGTGTTTGTCTGCCAGGGCTCCGAGGGTTACGTGGGGGAGACTGTTGTGGGCCGTGAACAGCCCGAGGTGGCCGATTATGGGCCGCCGGCCCCCCGCCATGGGAGGTGGAGGAGGAAGCTTGGTGGTTCGTCGATGTGAGTGATAGAGGGCGAGGGCGAGGGCGACGAAGGCTAAAGCTGCGATTGTGTTGAGAGATGGAGCGAGGTCCATGACGACTTCGTCAGTGTTATGAGTGGTAGTGAGATTCTAGTTCTGAAGTGGGTTTAGGGGTTCATGAGTTATTTCACTATGATTGTGTGAGGATATATATATAGGGATTTCCTACGGTAACTTGAAGTAAGGTAACTTGAATTTTTTTACCTGTTATAGCAGGTTTCACAGGTCGTATTACGTAAAATACAATAGGCATTACGTAATGGTTACGTAACATATGATAATCTTACGTAACAGTTGTAAAAGATCATTACGGAAGCCTTACGTAATAGAATGTGTCTTTACGTAATGAGTATTAACCTCGCGTTACATAAAATGCTAAGTCATTACGGAAGCCTTACGTAACGCTACTGATTTAACTGTTACGTAAGAAATAATTGTCGTTCCGTAACCTTTACGTAATGGAAGGTCTTTTTACGTTATGAGTATTAACCTTGCGTTACGTAAAGTGCTAAGTCATTACGGAAGCCTTACGTAACGCTTCCGATTTAACTGTTACGTAAGAAATAACTATAATTCCGTAACCTTTACGTAGTGAATATGTATTTTACGTAACAATTGTAAAATATCATTACGGAAGCCTTACGTAATAGAAGATTTCTTTACGTAATGAGTATTAACGTCGTGTTACGTAAAGAGCTAAGCTATTACGGAAGGCTTACGTAACGCTTCTAATTCAATAAGAATTAAAAAAGGAAATGTTAAAATATGGAAAGACAACTAAATGTGAAAATGGAAAGGAAAAAAATAGAAAAAAGGTAACTTGGAATGTGGTGACCGGCAACGCATGTTGCCATTTATTTTTTTAGTTATTTTTTTATTTTTATTTATTTAATCATTGGTTGAAAATAAGTTTGGTTAATTTTAATGGTTTAGATCTATGCAAGTTACCTAACTTGAAATTATACCCAAGTTACTGTAGGAGATCCCTATATATATATACTAAAAATCAAGGAATGAAATACTATATCGGAGGTTGTACCGGAAAAGTTAGCGATAGGGTATTTTATGCTAAAATCGTGGTTCAACCACTTCATTACTGCTAAATAGTAAATACTGCCTACTGATTTAGCCACCAATAGAAAGTTTTTCTGGTCGAACCGCCAGTATGATTCAGTATTTCAATCCTTGCTAAAAATTTAGTTATAATACAATATATTAACCACTACAAGTTTAGTTAAAAGATAAGATAAGGAAGTTTTGGAATTCTAACTGGAGCTTAAGGCACCAAGAATCATGATATTGATAGAGCAGTTTGAATGAGGGTTAAAATGAAATAATTTGGTTAAACATTATTATTTGACAGGGGGAAGTCGGGGAAAAAATCGCCCAGGATCCCTTCTCCGTTCCTCCCAATCCCAAAAACCCTAAAAATGGTTGTCGCAGTACGGTCTCCGATTCGACGGCACCCTCGACGAGAAGCGGGCCTACTCGGTGATGTACTCGAACCACCAATATTGTGGTGAGCAAACGACGACACTCGTCATTACGGCCTATAGCCGGTTACACCGATCTTTTCTGGATTGGTTAAGCTTCCTTTTCCAGAAGATGTACTCCTTCTCTTGCGGAGTTGTTCGTTTCAAGCTATGTGGTTTGTAAACATCATATCTGTGTTCTTTGAAGGAACCCAGTTAATTGAGGATATCTATTCCTCTGATTTTTATTATTCAAATCCCCTGCTGTGCTTTTGGGAGTTTCAATTTTCATTCCACGGCACCCAACGACCGATTATAAAATCGACACCGACGACGATAAATTGGGCGGATAGCCCAAATTATTTTTGGAATTCCTCAGTTGTTTCCTGGACTCCCTACCGGCAGCGATTGAAATCCAAAGCAAACTCTGACTCCATGACTCGTTTGGGTTAGTTAGCTTGCTAGATGAATGAATCGCGGCCAAAACGGCGACCTCGCCGGAAAATTTTCATCGCTCGTCGGAGAACCCCAATCCAATGAGAGTTTCTGGACATTTAATTATCCGAAACGTCAATTACGGGATAAAGGACCCTAAACGTTTCGTGGTATAATTAATTGACCATTAAGTCTACTTAATAGATTTGATATCCTACACTTTAATTCATTTAAATTTGAGTTACAACGGCAGAAGGAAGTGAAGTCATGCTCACTGGATTTTGGTCGGTTATTGAAGGTTGGCAGCGCTAATTAATTTCAGAAAAATGTAATTATTGCTGTAATACTGCTGTTTGCTTGGTTATTACAAATTGCAGTTTCGGTAATAAGGATGGGGAATTAAGCAAAATATAAAAAAAAAAAAAAAAATCCTCCTTACCGTAAAGTTACTTTAAGGTTTGGTGCCGATTATAGCTTTTTGGAGTTTTAGCTTTCTGCCACCCCACCGGTTCATAATTCATTTATTATTGTCATTATGGTGTGTTTTGATTGAGATAATAATAATTATTGTTACGGTTATGGGATCTCTGATATATATAAGCCGAGTTTTCTTTCCTTCTTAAATCATTTTTTCTTCCGTTTAAGTTGATAAGTATTACTATGATATTTATCATGGAGGTTACGGAAATTAATGGTTTTAATATAATAATTAATTAATCCCCTAAAGCAATTAAACTGGTACAAGCCTTCCGTTGCTCTACAACTCTGGAATATGGTGGGTTTAAGCTGTTTAATTAGTTCCGCCCCAACTGATAACTTTGGTATTTGGTGGCGACATGTTATGAACTCGGAAAACTTCCAAATCCACTATCTCCCATGTATTTGCCTTCTTTGGAGAATTTGGAAATCTAGAAATAAAGTGGTATTTGAATTCACTCAACCACTAGCCACTTCGCTTGCCCGTCAGCTCTTCTTTCAAGTCCAAGAATTTTCCTCTCTCCCCCCCCCCCCCCAGCCTCTGGTATTTTTGCCCCGCCCTCAGTCGTCTCGCCCTGCCAATTGGATTGGTCCCCCGGATGGTTATATAAAGATCAATTTCGATGCTGCTGTTCGTGCCCCGGGTTGCTCGTCAGGTCTCGTCGCTCGAGGGCCAGATGGGCAAGTCTTTTTGGCCTTGGGTTTCCATCATCCTGGAGTTTCGAATCCTTATCTTGCTGAACTGTTGGCCGCAAGGGACGCCATTTCTCTTGTTATCTCTCGAAGTCTTCCCCTCGTCATCATAGAAGGAGATTCCGAAGAAGTTATGCGCCAACTAGATGGTAGATGCTGCGAAGATTCGGTGGGTGGGCCCTTGCTTCGTGATTGTTTTCAGTTAGTGAGGTCCTGTTCCTCGTGTATTCCTTTTAGTGCGGTTCCGAGGACTGCCAACTGGGCTGCCCATAGAGTGGCAAGACAAGCTCTGTTGCTGTCCCCTGTAGAGATAGCGTCCTTTGATTTTGTAGGGTGGTTGCATTGATGTATTTTCGGGGTTCGGGTAGAGGTTTTAACTATTGTACTTCGGTATAACTTGGAAAAAAAAAAAAAAAACATTATTATTTGACAACAGTAAATGAGAATGTATCAATTACAATGATGCAATTTACTATCACCTCTTACCTCTTACCATTACATTACGCTCACAAATAGAGTTTTAATTTGAGTCTATTTTCGCGCATCTCTATTTTTAAATCGACAGAAATGAGCAAATAATTTAAAATTATATGTTTTTATGAAACAATTATGAAATAAAACAATTGAGTGAAATTACCTCATTTCAAAAATCAAATTCAAGATTGTAAAAAAAAAAAAAAAATCAAATTCAAGAGAATATTTGCAGCCGCCCGCACTAAGTTAAGCATGTGGTCAAAAGAGGCAATCCTCACTACAAGAAAATGAGTCTATGGCAAGGGTTTGGTAGCAGGGGTTCATGAAACCCTTGTTAATGTTTCCTGAAACTCGCGTAGATGCGGTATATATCAGGGGTTGAGAAACCCTTGCTAGGGATTAAGTAATTAACCAACCATTTCATCTAGTTTTACTGTTTCTATCTTTTCACGGGGCAAAAAAAATTCCAATCCCAAATGTAAAGAAACAAATCCCTAGTCCAGTGCCACTTCCCGCTTCCATCTTCTAATGCTTCTTCGTCCATAGCACAAAAGTTCTAGTCAGCATTCGAGCTTTGCCGATAGCGTCTCCGACGAAGCTAATTCGACGGCGGTTAACGAATTCCACCACGCGAGCTTTGCCGATAGCGTCTCCGACGAAGCTGATTCGACGGGCGGTTAACGAACTCCACCATACGAGCATTGCCGATAGCTTCTCCGACGAAGCTGATTCGACAGGCGGTTAATGAACTCTCTGGTAGCTGTTCGTGAAATTTGATAGAGATTGCAATCTCCGATTGAAATCAATTTTAATTCTCTCAAGTAGGTTATTCACTCTCTCTCTCTCATATTTTGATCGGAATCAGTACTTCTTGCTTCTTGTTGTGGTAGATAGAACATTCATTCCATGTGAGAGCAGAAGCTAGAAATTCGAAGCAGCAGAAGACGAAGTAACATGGATCGGCTCTCCGATGTCTTTTTGACTCTGGTGCTCGACGTCGACGACAACCAACAAAGGGACGATGCTCTGCTTCTTCGTCTCCTCCCCTTCCAAGCCCGAATCAAATAAAAATTCACTCACTACTCGTCTCAGTTAATGCTTATCCTTGCTATCTACTTGATCCCTTATACATTCTAGGGTTTTACATTATGTTCTGGTTTTTGCTTGCTTAAGTGTAAGTTGTATTTTATAGTTTTTTTATGTATCTACTAAAGCAGAGGATTCGGTGGGATTTATGTTGTTGGTGGTTGGTGATGGTTAAATTTGTTGTGTGTACAGGAAAGAAGGTAGCGGATGAGATGCAAGATCAGCAGGAAATGGTAACTCCTTTTGTAGAGTACAAAATGCATATTGTCTGATTGACTCCAAAATTACTGGACATTTCTTTTCATGATCTTTTTACTTTGCCGGTATCTTTACTCATCTCCCTGCTTCGTCTGCTACTTGATAGATTAGTCATTTTATACTGCTACTGTTAGCCATTTCCTTATCCTGAACTATTCAGTTATTTGCTATAGGATAGGATGATGATGGAGGTCAATTCGCTAGGGAAAACAGATAAGGACATTGCACAGTGCTTTACTCAGACTCCATTGCAACCAAAGATCGTTGAATCTATAAAATCAGCTCATGCCCTTGGGTGGTACTCTTCACCTCCTTGCCAAAACCAGACCCCTTTAGCGATGTGGGTGGAGAATTTGATTGTTTTATTTTTGGTGCAATGTGGTTTGTTCCCCAGATATGAATTGAGAATCATCAGTTATAGGTAACTTAATTTTGTTTTAGTTATTAGCATTCCAACATATGTTGAGTTCCACATGGTAGGAACCATTCATGGTTGATAATTCATATGTTCAGAGTTTACTCTTCCGTATGTTTGAACATTTTTTAACCTTCATCAGTCAAGCAGCAGAATAAACCAACTAAAACATAGGCATGCCACCACTGACGATACCTTTACCATTACATACAGCAGCTGGGAAGAAGCTTCATTTTGTTCTGGTCATTGATATACAGGTATTATACGCAAATCCTTTCTGGTGTACTGCCATGACATTTCTTTTTTATTTTATTTCTTGTGTAAGAAGCAGTAGCATATAGAGAATTTAGGTAATTAATAGTACTAACCCATGAGCTGGAAGATATTGGGTGATGAGTAGATCATTAGGTTCTCTGTACTTAGAATATTAATAGTACTGCCATGACATTTCTTTTTTATTTTATTTCTTGTGTAAGAAGCAGTAGCATATAGAGAATTTAGGTAATTAATAGTACTAACCCATGAGCTGGAAGATATTGGGTGATGAGTAGATCATTAGGTTCTCTGTACTTAGAATATTATGAGTCTTGTGTGTTAGAGAAGTATTTTCCTGCACATGAGAAATGATGATGAGCTGAATTATGTTCTCAAGGTAATGGACTTGTTCATAAGGTACAGTTGACGATGATTCTTCATCGATGGTTTTGAGCTGCCAACTTGGTATCCGGTATGTATTAATAATACCCTCTAAAGCATATCCTGTCACTGTCAATGTAGTCTAGTTCTAAGAAATTCTCATTAGCTTAAGTCAGAGAGCATAAATTCTAAACAACGAGCTTCTACTTGCTGCTTTAAATTGTACAATTACCCGGGTTTTTACTGATTGCAAAATTGATTTCTTAAAGCATATCATTCTGACAGCAGGAGCGGCAGATTCCTAGTACAACCAAGGTGCAAGTGTTCATCAATATCCATAGGTGAATTTCTAAATCTTGACCAAGTCCTGATTTTCATGCTTCAATTGAGTCTCGAATTTCTTTTTGGATCTTTTATAAGCACGCCGAGAAAAGACAAATGTAGTTCATAACATTTCAACTTGATATTGAACCAAATCAGATCATGTATTGTTGACATGAAGTTGTCATTTAGCATCAAACTCTACTGGTTGCTCCCTAATTTGTGTGATGAAGAGTTATAACATAAATATATCTATGTTAAAGTACATTTCTTTCATTGTCTTTCCTGCTAGCTAGCTTAGCTTCTTGTTATGGTTTGTGCAGAGAAATGGGATGGGCACCATGCTGTGACCAAACAAATGTGAAGAAGGGGCCAATGCCACCTGAAGAACATGCTAAGCAGAAGGAGCATATGGGTTATGCTAGTGATCTTTTTTATTTACTCAAGTCGTCTTTAAGAGGTGAGCTCTTGTAGGTCGAGTTATGGTGCTTGTGAGTATGGTTGACTTAAGTCCTAGTCCTCATGATGTTCTCTCTCCTTTTATATGATAACAATAATACCAACATCACTTAAATCTTAATGCAGGGATGACTTCCTGTCAACTAGAGTTGGGTTGTAGTTCAAGAATAATTGCAGGAACATCTTGATTTGGGAAAGATTGAGAAGGTAATTTCAAAGACAGCATTGCTTAACATTGTTTAGTTCAAGTACCTTTGCCATTTCTAATTGGGTATTGAGGTAAAATTTTCAGAACATAGTCATATGAGTGTCTTTACTTCCCTTCTCCTGTATACCAGAAGACGAGAAACCATGGAGTCAAACCTCAAAATGATTGCACTTTCTTCATTGAAGAAATATTGATGAGGATGCATTGGAGCAAGCTTTGACTGCTGCTGTAACGTGCAAAAGGTCCTATACTACAAAAGGTCCTCTGTCTCTCTCTTTCTCTCTCTGCAGTAACTTAGTGTTTACTTGGCACTAGTGGGTGCCTCTGTTTACCGATTCAGTGCCCCATCCTCTTCTTGAAATCTTTTGACTGAACCATCTCCGAACAATGCCTTAAACCTGCTATGACCAATCCCTTGTTGTAGTTTCAGGTGTACTTGGAAAGGATCCGGAGGAAACCCGAAATCAATGCATTTTTTGAATAACTGAAGCCACATCAGGTTAGTGATGATGAACTTTTCAACTTGGCAGGTCTTGCATTCATTACCAATGTGCTTATTTATTATTGGTTGTACTTCAACAGAAAGCACTGTTGCTGGACAACTGCGCGGTCCTTGATCGTGCAATGATCGAGCACAATCTTCTAAGTGCAAGCAAACTATACACTAATATAAGGTTTGTTATTTACCTTCTAACTGCAATGATCGAGCACAATCTTCTAAGTACAATCATTTTGAGGTTTGACTCCATGGTTCTCTTCTTTTGGATATACAGCAGGGGAAGCAAAGACACTCATATGACTATGTTCTGAAAATGATGGTTTGTTATTTACCTGATTCTGTGCTCTCATTCTCATTAATATTTCATGCCTATTAATTCGAAGCTTGTAAGACTTCCAGCTTAGTTTACCTACTCCAATCTTAACGTGCAGGCCTATTTAGATTTCTGTTCGAGCAATTGCTACAGCTCATGATGGATTGAAGGCAAGAGAGTTAACGAAAGAGAGCCCCATAACATAGACATCATTCTATCATATGATGTATTGAATCATGGATATAGTGTACTGTATGATTTGGCTACCCAATAATGATTTTTGTAGAAAATTTTGCAAGAAAAAGCTTGGTTATGGATTTATCTATAGTGAGAAGAGTATTTGCAACCAAGTTATAGCCACCAATTTTCATGGGTTTTTAGCGACAGTTTTGAGTTTGTTCAAAAATTTTATCAGCCTCTCTTTAGTGACGATTCTGAGTTGGTTGCAATTGATTTAGAGACAAATTAAGCAAGGGTTTTAACCCTTGCTAGTTAGAGCAACGAACTTAGCAGGGGGCTTAACCCCTGATACAAACATCTTACTATTGAATTTTATATTGAATTGTAGCAGGGGTTTAAACCCTTGATACATGTAGCAGGGGTTTTAAACCCCTGCTATAACCCTTGGACGGGACTTTCACCGTGGGTTGTTAAAAACCCTTGCTACACGTAGCAGGGGCAGCATAGGCGAGGGTTCATGCAGGGGTTGGCGAAACCCTTGCTACAACTTGTAGCAGGGGTTAAAACCCTTGCTATAGGTAGAAAAAACCCTTGCCATAGACCCATTTTTTTGTAGTGCCTGTCTTCTCAGTCTCATTATCATCGTTCTCCAGCCCTAAATTAACCTAAGCAATAACTGTTATGCAAGTGGAATCTTTGAGACCAACTAATACAATTTTTATTTACTTTTTTATTTGATAACCCGGAACATCAGCAACCCACATGCCACATGATTGACAGCGGAGCCTACTAAACCTAGGGTACCTGCATACTAACAATCAAGGACTTTGTCCCGGCGCAATGCCCGGCGTTGTGCTACCATTATCGGAAAGACTTCGTCTCCTGTACCAAGGGTGCCTCCGGGAACACCAAGAAGGTGGTACTGGGATTCGAACCTGGGACCTTGTCACATCCCAAACTCAAAACCCAGCCCTTTTACCAACTAGGCTGTCTTACCATCGGCAATACAACTTTTGTTTACACTAACAATTGTACATGTAGAAAATTGGTACACTTGACTTAATTACTTAGTTAAAGATACCCACACGTTTGAAATTTGTATAACAATCAATCAACTTTACATAGACTTTGGTTTACCTATCTGTTGTTGCAATTTTACCTTATCGTCAACCAACTCATTTGTCCAAAATTCCGAATTGATATTTGCAACCATTTGATTTGGTGGAAGATTCGTTTAAGACTCATTTTCCAAAGATATTGAATGTAGTGGATAGTGTTATGAGTTATCATTATCTTTATCTCAGTCAAAACTTATTTGAGACCATTTGGTGGGAAGAAAAGAAATACACCCCTCCTCACATTTAAAATTCAGGACATAGAGCAAGTTTTTCGTAACACTTATTTTGCAATACTATTAAGAATGTTACGTTAAATATATATACCGAGGTAAATATGGTATGGTTGGTCACTTGAATTATTAAAAACGTTCATATTTAGTTACTACAAATATTTAATTTCATTAGTGGTCACTAGAATTAATTTGATAGTTCATGTTTTGTCACTCTCCGTAACCTTTCGTCAGCCTCCACTAACACCATTAATTTTTTTTGCTGACTTGACTAACAGAAGTGCCGAGTCACCCAACTTTAACAAAAAAAAATATAATTAGACCTTACTCGCCACATTAGAAACCGGCCACGTCAGCCAATTAACTGACTCCAACCCAACTCTGCCCCGACCGGTCGCCAGTTATTTACCCCTTCCTCTTCCCCGACGAAGTAAGGGTGAAATTCATTAATTAAATAAATCTTAAAAGAGTTTAAAAGGAAGGCAAAAACAAAAAAATAAAAAACAAAGGTACAGGAAAGGGGAATCGGCATCTCGGGGATCACAGCCCAGCCACACACAAAACTCAGAAACAAATATAAAAAGGTCAAATAAGTACTCCAAAAAAAATGGCCCTTCTTCGTCTCAATAGCCAAGTCGTAATGGCATAGGTCTATGGAATGCAGGTTCGACGATACTCGTAACATATATTGCAACGATTCAATTCATGGTCGCTAAAAGTACAAAATACTAGGCATAAACATCACGAGACAACCGCGGCGAAGCCACAACCTGAAGCGGCGCCGCCATCATATTCGTCATCCCAAAGCTCTCCGTCATATCCACCGCCTCATCTCCCACCGTCTTAAAATCAAACGCATGCAAAAAACTCGCCAGCGACAAATGCACCATCTGAAGGCCCAGATTCATCCCGGGACACGCCCGCCTCCCGCTGCCGAACGGGAACAACTCGAAATGGTGTCCCTTCACATCAATCTCTCCATACTCCGCCGTCAGGAACCGTTCCGGGTCGAACCGTGTCGGGTCGGGCCACACGGCCGGGTCGTTCTGGATCCTCCACGCGTTCACCATCAGCCACGTGCCCTTCCGGACCTCGTACCCGCCCACGCGGCAGTCGGTGATGAATTCACGCGCGGCCAGGAGGGGCGCCGCCGGGTACATCCGCATGGCTTCTTTGACGACGGCTTGGAGGTAGACCAAGTTGCCAATGTCGGACTCCGTCACAGCTCGGTTCCTGGGAACGACGTCGTTGAGTTCGGTCTGGGCCTTGAGGAGCACGTGGCGGTTGTTGAGGAGGAGAGCCATGGCCCATACTACGGAGACGTTGGTCGTGTCTGTTCCTCCTGAAATCATGCTCTGTATTTTTTTTTTCCCCACTCGCAGATCAATGTTAGAGCTCCATTTAGGCAACAAATTTCCAAGATTTTTACCGTTCCTAAAAACATAAATATTCATTTCATGGATCGTTTGCGACTCTTAGATCTTATCCTCTTAAAATGAAGTGCAGATCTATCATGCAGCCTATCCTGGATCGTACGATGTCTATCATCCAAACCTCAAATCCCAGAATCCTTGGAGAGATATTAATCAAATTCGAAGAGAGAAGATTTATTAATTTACCAGTGACATGGCTTTGATGATGGTATCGGAGTCATATCCGTGGAGAGATTGTCCGTCGAGAAGGGAGAGCAGAACGTAAATGAAATCAAGCTCTGTTTTTTTCTCTCCCCTGTTTTCCTTGTGTTCATCCAGCCATTGCTGAAGGTACCCATCCATTTCCCTCGCTACCATTTTCATCTTCTTCTCATGCCCGCCGATATCCATCCACCGGAGAAACGGCAGCGCATCTCCCACAACAAACGTCCCGCCGTACTTGAAAAGCTCTCTGACACAGTTCTTAAACCCCACGAGAGAAACAGAGTCAGAAACAGAGGAGCTCTTCCCCGCAACCAATTTCAACATCAAATTGAGGCTCAAATCCCCAATCCACTTCTTCAAATCAATTTCTGGGTCGCGCCCAATTTGATTGTACAGTTCGTTTATCGATTTCTGGACTTCGGATTCTCTGAAGTGTCGGAGAAGCTCCAATCGGCGGGCGGAGAGGAGCTCGAGGACTGAGATTTTCCTCGTTTCCCGCCAGTAATCGCCGTGCGGGCCCATCCCGAAGACGGCGTAATCGTAGGAGAATACCTTCGTGGCGGTGATTGCGGGGCGGGAGAGCGCCACCGTGTCTTTGGTGGTGAAGAGCTCCTTGGCGATTTCAGGGCTGCTGACGATCAGAACGCGGTTGATTCCGAGGCGGAGGGTGAAAACGGGGCCGTATTTGTCGGCCAAGGCGGCGAGTGCTCTGTGGGGGAGCTCCCGGCCGGCCATTACTGGGAGGTGGCCGATGATCGGCCATGGGTTGGCTGGTTCGGGTGGGAATCGGGTTTGGTTGTCGGATCGGCGGCGCCGGCGGCGACTGTCGGCGAGGATGTAGAAGGAGAGGCAGAGGAAGGAGATGGCCAGAGTAATAATGGGGAGTGATTCCATGTGGAGAAATCGGGAGATGGTTCTTTGGAGCGAAAATGGTTTGTCTTGAGGGTTTTGGGAAAGGTTACCACATGGACATGGTGTTGGTTATGGTATGGGTGACAGGGTGAGCATCATGTTATAAACTAAGAAGTTTAATTATATTATTCTCTAATATGTGCGCTTAAATGAAAACCAATCCATGAATTTAAAATTTAAATAGTCTTATAATAGTTTGTGCTTAAATAAATGTTAATATTGGAGGTTATGGAAATTTAAACATACGACCATTTGATCAAACGAACTTTGATATCATGTGATAAACCAACTGCTCCCAATAACTCCAAGTTATTCATTAGATTTACGACACATCACAATCCATAAGTTGACCAAATCATCCAATCCAACCATTAAATTCAAAAGTTACAAAGTATTTGAATGGGTGACGGCGATCTAATTATTATGACCCGACAATACTCTCGTATGGGTGGAGATTTGGGTATTGATGACATTGGAGCGGGGCGGATACCTCAATATCTATTCCCATTATATTTGACTGAGCCAGAAATTCAAATGAGAGGGCTCACTTGAATTTTTGTAATTGGGAGAGGGCGCTAAAGTCTTACCTATTATTCTAATCACTAAATTAATACAAAATCTAGGGTAAAATACATTGAATACCACTAAAGTATGAGAATTGTGGTAGCTGTACCACTTAAGTTAGAATAGGGCGTCGGATACCACTAACATCAAAGAATTGTGCATCTGTTAAAATTTTCGTCCGCCTGCCGTTAAAAAAATATATTATTTTTTGAAAAAACATTACAAATAATATAAATCAAAATGAGAAAATCAAAATTTAGTTTTCATAAATCTTACGCCGCCACCACCTACACGAACTATATTGATCGCCGGACGGCGAGCAGCGAAGGAACTATTTCCCATCGCCGGCCAACGTAGAGAAGAAAAAGCTCTGTGCCGGATGAGAATCGAGGCTGTTCAGTTGTGGTTAAACACGGATTTACTAGTTTTGGGCTTTGACATCTAATTGATTCTCTAATTGGGTAGGCTTAGGGTTTTGAAAGAATCAAAAGTAGGAGGAGGAGATGGCGGAGACAGAATCTCCGAGCTTCCTGAGCATATCATTCACACCATCCTTAACTGTGGCTTGGTTACCCTTTTTTGAGTTCCCGCACTCAAATCAAACGAGATTCGGCAGCTCCGTCGACTCCAATTGTAGGAAGTTGTTGCCGCCACAACTAGGGATGGCAAATTACCCACCCATGGGTAATTATACCCAAACCCAAGTAGACCCATTGATAATGAGTTGGGTATGGGTGAAGTGCATATGGATTTGGGGGTTTATAGATGGGTTTGGGTAATGTATGAATATTGCTTCCATAATCTAAATGGGTATGAGTTGGATATGGATATCCATTTACTTGAAGGTGTTTTAACTACACATGCAAAAATTGGACCTATTTGTAAAACTTGAAAAGTTTAGGTACCAAAACGTCAGACCAAAAAAGTTTAGGTACCAAAACGTAATTTTCCATCGATATTTGGAGGACTTATATGCAATTAGGTACTAAACATGCATATCTATTAAGTTTGGTACCAAACTGTAATTTGTATTTGGACATGGGTACAAACCCAAGTCCATTTGGTATAAACCCAACTCAACTCAAAGTAAATGAGTATGGGTACAAACTAAGGATGACAACAAAACCCGAACCCACGGGTACCCACCCGACCCAACCCGGTCAAAGCGGGTAAAACCCGTGTTAACGGGTTTTGGGCCGGGTTCGGGTTTAAACCCGCTACACTATTCACTGGGTTGGGTTGGGTTTGGGTAAACCCGCCCCATGGGTACCCGCCCACCTATATAATTACTTTCCCGGTAGATTTAATATTCTAAATAATATATCTTCTTTAAACAACTAATATTATTTATGTTTGTGGAGACATGTATAATTTGTTCTTTCTAATTGTTTAGAATGAAGTTGATATTATGGAGTGGAGAATGAAGAAACTTATTTGACGAGGAAGAAGATTTCAATTAATCTTGTTGTTTATAGATGTTTATCTTTAATTTTGAACAATTTATATAGATCATTTGCAGTTTGTTTGTATGTTCTAGATTGGTGTTTTTTGTATGAATAATTTGTATGAGAAAATTGATGTGAAACTTTTATTTTGAAAGAAATTTGTTATTGTAGATTTTTTTACCATAAAAACCCACGGGTACCCATGAACCCGCGGATACCCAACGGGTTGGGTTGGGTTTGAGTTTTTCAAACCCAACGGGTTTTACCCCGGGTTTTTTTGGCAGATAAACCCATGGGTTTGGGTTTGAAAAAACCCGCCCCAACCCGACTCATTGCCACCCTAGCCACAACCATCGGATTCTGACCACAACATTAGTGTCGTTGTACAGGTGTAGGGGCTGATGGCGATTATTGGAGTTCTAGGATCGATGAAGAGCACTGTCGTAGTCGTTGATGGTGTGGTGATGATTCGACGATGGGGATGGAAAGATGCGCCTGCGTTGAGGAGAGCTGGTTTAATTTTTGGATTCTCCTTTTTTCTTTTTTAATTCTCCCATATTTATTTATATTATTTTAACTTTTTTTTCAAAAAATTAATATTTTATTCTTTTTTAACGGCAGACGGACGGAAATTTTAAAGGATGCACAATTCTTTAACGTTAGTGGTACCCGACGCCCTATTATAAGTTAGGTGGTATAGCTACCCCAATTCTCATATTTTAGTGGTCCCCGAAGTATTTTACCCCAAAATCTACATGTAATTTTGCCTGTATTTAAAAATTGAGTGAGGCTACCTACAACTAGGGGTGGAAGTTTGGTTTGTGGATTGCGGGTAATCCGTAAACCGCACCAAACCGCATACATTGTGGGTAACCATACCCACAATTTGTGGATAGTGGGTTGGATGTGGGTAACCATACCCACTATCCACAACGGTTAACCCACAAAACCCACAATAACCACACTAAGTATATTTATTTACTAATATATTTTGTAATATTAAATTATATGGTAGAGTGCTACAAATTAAAGTAGCCTCTAAAATCAAATATATATTCATTTAATAAAACAAAATCAAGCCAATACATCGTGTTCGTATGAGATACTTTTATTAAATAAACATTGTCCGCGTGGTATATGTCTATTTTATAACAAAACAAAGCCAATAAATGTGGTTTATAGTTTATTTAACACTTTATTAACTTTTTTTATGTAGGCTTTTGTTTTTGTGTAAGAGGACGCTAATTCCGCAACTTGGGAGAGAATTCCATTTATCCCTAAAAGTTCGAATAAAAAAGCAAAGGAGTCATGCCGTTGATAAAGATGCAATGTATATTTAGATTAGATCCCCTCCAACCCATACTCGTTATCAATATGCATTTCCTAAAGAGTAAACGAGTGAAGTGAACAAAGGAGAGGGAGGTTGACTACCTAGGAGGTTCTGAATACCGAACCATCGCTCGTTCCATGTCTTGGGCTTCTTTACTTAGTTTTAACTTAATGTGTTTTTTTCCTCACTCGACCGATAGGTTTAGCCTATACGAGTCCAAAGGGTGAAAGAAAGACATTTTTTGTGGGTATCCACATCCAACCTGCACCAACCCGCAGTGGATAATGGTTAACCACTACCCACTGTGGGGCGGGTTGTGGGTAGCATAATTCTATATTTGTGGGTGTGGTTACCCACAAAATGTGGGGCGGGTAACCACACCCACCCCAATTTCCACCCCTACCTACAACCCCTTCTAGTTTCAACCTAATTCCACCACTGTCGACCCCGCACTAAACGCAAGTAGGGTCGGGTAATACCCAGACGGGTACAGGATGGATCGAACCATTCTTAAATGTTATTTGAAAAAAGAATGTCGATATTTATAATTGAATCTGAATCATTGAAAGATAGAGTCTTAAAAATTCTTTGAGATGAAAATATGAATTTAGAAAGGTCAATGAGAAGCAATACATATAAATACGGATGCAAATCATTGATCTAACTAGTCGAGAACGAAAAAAATCGAAACCAAACACGTCAGAATTAGCAACACACATGTCTCACCCTACACTATTACTACGAATCAAATAATATTGCTCCAAATAGAGACCGTCACCGAGGCTGATCGAATCCGTGGATCAAAGCAGAATTTGTATCACTAATTTTGGGTCGGAAAACCCAAAACAATCCAACCCGACCTACTCTTACACTAAACTAGTAACAACCTAACGCATTTTTTAGCATGCAAGTGGACTGCATCCGGATTTGTGTCATGTTGATAGATGGACGAATAATTTCCATATGCCAGGCCACTGTATCTCCCCTCAATCGTGTCCAGATCAGATCAGATCGACCAATGGTTTCCACTTACCTTTTATTATAGCTTATTTTTCATATGAAACAAACAAACAACAGATCATAGCAATGGGTAGAATATCTGCTTAATATTATGTCATGTTTGCTGTTGGTGTCTGCAATTATTTTTCATAGAAGTTTGTGCGGTGAGGAATGAAACAACAGAATAGGCATGGGTAGAATATCTGCTTAATATTATGTTATGTTTGCTGTTGGTGTCTGCAATCGTTAGTAATATTTGTATTATAAGCTGGTGTATTGTTTAAATAGATGTTTTTATAATATTATAATGTTTGTTGATTGTGTTTTTACATTTTAATTTAGGAATGAAATTGGTAAAATTACCTTTTGAAAGTATAGATGTAAATTTAACAAAGCTCACACTCTGTCTCTTATATTGCTTTGCCCATTTTCGAAAAAAAGAAGGAAAAAAAAAAACCCTTCGAAGGATTACAAAAGAGGAAGCAAGAAACTTTGTTCCCCTTTGTTCATACATGCATTTCGATCAAGGGAGATAACAAATCCCATTACCGTTTCATGATCTAGAAGACTACTTGGTAATGGTCCCTCTTCGTGGAGTCTGATTGATCAGCTCCAAAATATGAAGCATGCAACGTTTGGAATGCATAATAGTGAGTAAATTTTACTTATCAAGATCTATTGTCTACTCCGTGAAATTTTATTATCTAGCAGTAAGAGTTGAGTGACTG